GAATTTAACTCTCTAGTCGAATCTATTATCTAGACACCTTTGCTATTATCGTCAACCCTTTGCATGTATTTTTTTTTTTTCTTTTTATCTTTATATTTCATCTTCTGTATAAATTCGTATTATAAATAGATATAAATCTAAATATATATATTATAAATAGTAAGATTATTACATTATTTCTAATATAAAGAATGCGGACATTCGTTGAAGACCACTAGGTCTTGTCGTCAATATAAATAAATTAAAATAGCAAAAGAAATACATAAATAAGCTTGAAAAAAATATAAGTATCAAACAATGGTTAAATATATAAAATGTTAAAATTAAATTGTCTTTTAAAATAAAATGTTTAAATATTTAAAAGCAATTAAAACCAAGTTTTCAAAATATAGAAAAATGTCATCAATCGTAAAAAACCTAATTTCTGAAATCATCTCCACTCGATCATCTCAGCTTTTGAAAAAAAAAATTGTCAGTATGCATTTAAGCATGGTTTATGAACATTGCAAAAGTTTCAGGTCAAAATGCTTATTATTTCGGATTTAGTGGTACTTTTTGTAAGGTTTACCCAAATTTCAATATCAGTCAGTAGCTAAAAATTGTGTTCTTGGGCATTTATATTTACCTAAGGTGCAGACTGCAAACTATTTATTATAACTTTCATTTCAGACCTAGATTTTAATCAATGGTTTAAAGTATTTTTTTTTTTAGTCATTTTTAGGCTTTGGCCCATAAAAAAGCCTCCAAAAACAAAAATAGCCCCGGGCCCCAAGAAGTCTTAATACGCCACTGGGGTCATATCTCCAGAACAAAAATGCCCATGAAACCAATATAACCAGGAAAACAAGACTCATTTAAGCACTTGTTTAATAGTTTAGAGAGATTTGAAGAGAGTTCTGGAGAAAAATTTTGTTAGACTATGACAGGAATGTCTGGACCACAAGCCGTTTAAGAGTTTAATCGAGATATGACTTTAGCAACAGAAGCTGGAGTTCTTTGAATGTCTATGAAGGGGTTAACCTGTTTAATTGGAATGAAAGAAAGAAAATGGTTATAAGATTTGAGAGTTGAATTTGAAGAAAAGTTTTGTCCAAATAGTTCTGCTTTATTTTTGAGACCTTCATTTGTTAACGACGCTGATGAAGTTTTTTTTAAAGTCTCCAGAGACTAACTTCTGAGATAAGATACGAGATTTAGTGAACTATGAATAATGGAGCTTAGCATCTGACAGCACATTTTTACATCAATTTCTTGCAATAATAGATAGCCGTTTGTAATCAAGAGAGTTGTTTTTTTCAAAAAAATAAAAAAAATAATTACGATTAGATGTAGCACCTGTACAAGAGGTTGAAAACTATGGAGTAAAATGAGGCTTGAATTAGAACCGACAAGAAGGAATAAAGTTTCCATTCCTGCCTGAATCCAGGAGGTTGTGTAGGAGGCACTTTTATCAACTGAGAAAAGACATCAGCTCAAAGACCGTAATAAAGAAAATCTTGAAAAGAATCCCAGTCAGCTTAAGGATATTAGTAAGTAGTGTTGAGTCCGAAAATGAAGTACATGATTAAAGATTTAAAGAGATTGTTGCATGGTCAGAAACACACGAGAAAAAAGAGAACTGAACACAAGCTTGTATCAGAGACCAGAAATAAATTAAGGAGTGAAGGTAAATGATTAGGGTTGTCAGGAAAACGAGTCACAAAATTAACTATCTGTAAGAGGAAGAAATTAAGAAATGCAGTAATTATAGGTTTTAGTCCCAGCAGATTCAGTGACGTTAGAGCCAAGTTATTCAGTATGATGAGCGTAAAAGTTACCAATAACAACAATATTAGCAGGGGTAAAAGAACAAAAAGAAAGGTGATAGAGTGAAGAAGTGCTCAGCGGAAGCACATAAAAGAATTTTTAAAAGATTTAAACCTGATTTTACGACAATTAGGCGAATGATGCATATGTATACCCCAAAGACAAGTATGTGACTATTGGAGTCTTTGCATATCAAAGAATAGTACCCATTAACACTGAGATCAAAATAAAGAATAAGAATTTAAATTAGTCTCACCTAAAGCAAGTCTGGTGAATTTTGCAAGAAATAAGATACAACTGATGGAAGGTTGCTTTGCAGACCATGAATATATTTTAATAATGTAAAGATATTTTAAAACGGTTATGGGGATGATTGTTTATGTTCAAAATTTATGGGTTACTTTTGTCAGGATTTTAGTTTAAAGAAAAAATAACTCATTCATAGATAGAACACAGCCTCCCAAGAAATTAGTTTTAGTAACATAGAGCTCCTTATGTGGCCTCAACAATGCGTACCAAAAGCATTCACAGGTACACCATCTATGCGCAACATGGCACTGTTAATACTCTGATATTTTGCAACTGTTGTTGGAACCAGTCTCTCTGAGAGCTACCACAGAGTTCAGAAAACCTTACTACCAGCTGGCCTCAGAATTATTAAACTGAGTTTTAAAGCAGTACCCTCATTAGGAGAAAACAAGAATAGTTGCATAGTCACTATCAAGGAGGCAAAAAAAAACCTATGAGAAGAGTCAAGAATATCCAGCGTTCATCATCCTTGGCAGGAAATAATATATCACAGCTTTACATCTACGCCAGCCTAATAAATGAAGAAGAGGTTCAAGTCTAGTTTGCAGAATTATTTTGCTATCCCCACAAGTCTTTCCCTAGGAGGCCAAAATAAGAGTTTTTATTGAGACTATCTCTAGCCTTTACTCAACCAAGAGCCCCAAACAGAGGGTTTTTATGTTAAAGTTGTTTCTTCTAGCTTTTACCTAAAAGAGCACACTCTACAAGGCAGCAGAATTGGGGCAGGTAGAGCTGGGTTAGTACCAGTAGCAGTGTAATCGTGATAATTCTGGACCTGACCTGGAGTAATTAAAAGGAGCTACTTCCTGCAAACAGTACCTTAAACATTGGGCATGATATTTTGGAAATGCATTGGTAAAATTACAGCATCTAACAAAATACTAGAGAGAAGGGCAAGCGCAGGTTTCATAGTTGGAATGTCAAGTTAGTTAATAAGCTCACACTGCGTCAAAATAGATTTAAAAAAAACATTTAAGCATTTAAAAAGAACACATACATACATAAAGTAACTTACAAGTGAGTAAACACCGCGCCAGAGATTCAGACAGAAAATAAACACATATAAACAAACAGACAACACAAACATACAGATAGCAGCCTACGGTCGAGTAATCACCACGCCAGAGGATTAGACAGAACACAAACATACATATAAAGTACATTATAAGTTATCTAAAACTAAGTAACTAAGGCATCTCCAATTATATAAAAGATACACACAAAAATAAATATATGTATGTCTCCCGCTGGGAAATCGGCTAGCGAATAGCTAGCTATAATCGTTACGATAAAGACAGCGATTTGGCCACGAGGATCGCTAGCTTTTTTAAGTTAGCGAAAAGCTATCGATATATTTAAAGATAAAGACAGCGATTTGGCTATGAGGACAGCTAGCTTAATAAGCTGAAGATCCACTGGCTATTGTACCTAGCGTCATATCGTAATAAAATCGTTGCCTAAAAAATTTTGATATGTAGCTATCAACCAGCTATAGATTTTTAAATATTTTGTAGCTAGCTACAAAGCTACGATATGTAGCTAGCGACACATTGCTACAAAATCGCAATGTTTAAAGTTCAATTATTTTCAAAATTATATTAGACTCACCACTTAAAATCGAATTTTTAAAGATGTTAAAGACATTTGCAAAAAATAAAATAAGGAAAAAAAAATCGCTTCAAAATCGCTATAGAGCTAGCTAGTCGCTAGCCAGTCGCTAGCTCATTTCCCACCGGGTCTATATTACTATATAAAAGATACACAAAAAAATAAATTTATGTATGTATATATTACTATAGACACGACCGATTTTAAATAATATCAATCACATGAAGCAAACTCCTTCCAGTTTTTGCTTAGAAAGCAAATCCCACAAGGAAACAGGTCATGGAACAGATTGCGCTAAGTCAAATGATACCAGTAACAAAGTGATCATGAAGACCACTTAACCTAACACAGATTTTGCTTAATGTGTTTTGAGTTTACGTGTTACAAAAATATTTCATTGTTTTTTTAGATTTGTTTAGATTTATTATTTTATTCTAACAAAAGAAAAAAAAAAAAAAAAAAAACACAAGCACAATATAAATGTTAAAAAAAGAATTAAAAGTTATTTGGAAAAATTTTTAACTCATTCCTTAGTGAAACTGAAGTAAAAAACCCTTTTATTTCCAAAGTTTCCGAAATAAATATAGGATTTGGGTATAAGACCAACAAGTGGTCTTATACCCAACAATTTTTTGGGTATAAGACCCAACAAGTGGTCAAATATAGGATTTGGGTATAAGACCGTGGTGCAGTGGTTAGAGTTCTGGCTCAGAACCCAGAGGTCCAAGGTTCGATGCCAGCTCCAGCCCAACAAGCGACATTGGTACGGAAGGAGGCGTGAACTTCCTGTTAAATGCTCACCCGCGGTGCTCTATGATAAGACCGTAAGGACTTCTGGGAGCACCTAAATACATACAAAAAAAAAGAATACAATTATGCGTTTGTTGGTATAGATGTATTAGCTTTTTCTCGTTATAAATATTACATCAAGAAGATATGAGGAATGACTAATATATCTATATCAATAAACATATAATTGTATTATTGTCGGTCTTATACTCAAATACAATATTGGAGCGCACGGATTGAAAAGGAATTTTCTACGTTCAAGTTTCTAAGTTCAAGCTGACGCAAAAGATTTAAACGGATTAGTGTTTTTACATATATTTATTTACTATATATGTTTGTTTATAGAGTTTATTTAAGATTATTTCTTACTGAGGTACCCAGGTTTATTAAGTGCTAAGTAAACATTGTTCATTAATAAATTTATTTGTTTAATACCCTAGCATCTAAGTTTATAGTTTATTAAGTTAAAATTGATTTATAGGTTAGAC